ATTTGATCAGATTTGCTAATCACTTCAAACCACAAATGACTTCGAATTTGCTCCATTCAGAAGCAAAAACAAAAATTTTCAATTTTCTGTCAGTGGTCCGTTTTGCCCTAGAGGTGCGTTTTAGCCGCCTGGTCCGTTTCGCCCTACCCTCCCCTGCAACTTTAACACGTGAGTACTTGTGTGTGTGTGTAGGTGTATTTGAAGTTTTGTGTCACCTCAATCATCCGTACTTGTGGGACATTTGGACGTATTCTTTTGATAATATTTTTTGGGATTATGAGTATTGGGAGTTGATTTCAAAGAAACTGTGAAGTGTTGAATAGTATAATATATATTATTTTAAAAGAATATATTATTTTATTGTGATTAGTTTAGTTGTCATTTGATATCAATTCATTGAATTTGCCGATTTACTGATTTTAAGTTCTCTTTTATTGATGCAATTCACTGTATTGTTGTTCATATTTTTTTGTTTTTTTATTAAATGAATTCTCATGGCAAAAGTAAATATTTATTGATTTCGAAGACTGTATTGATAATTGTGTGGAATGTGTGTGTTGAATGTATTTGTGTTAATATGTACATTGTACGTATATCCTTTTGACATGTAATCAAATTTTTACTCTAGAGAGTAGCAGGATGCTTAAATTATTAGTTTTTAGTTATTTATTTCTTCATTTGCATGCCAACGAAGAATGAAATAATACTCTTTTGTATGCATTAGGTGAATCCTCAACGTTCCATTGGAAACCTAGCTTGGAAAACCAGCGACTAATCATTCACTGAATTTTACTGAAAAAATTTGTTCATTCAAATCGAATAACGAATGCAGAGAGAATGAGGAAATATCATCATATTTTATTCAAATCCATTGGAAATATAATTTTAAATATCTAATTAATTGAATGAATGATAGAATACAAGAGAAGTTTAATTCTCCCAGAATGATAAATTAATTAGTAATTAATTTAAGAGCACGTCTTTGGGCTCGTCGTCAGCGTGCTGGCCCTATAAACCAAAGCGTCCCAGTAGCGCAGGTTCGAGTCCCGATGGTGAAAGATTTTTTCATCGCCGGAAAACGAAGCCAGTGCATGTGGAGTTAGATATAAGTTAGCTTAGAGGCAAGTGCGGGTAGGGAATTAGGCTGGGGTACCGCGTAGGTACTGGGACGGGTAGGTAAAAGACCACAACGGTCATACCATCTGGCACCACCCAATTTTAGTAATTAATTTATCAAAAAGTACTAGTTGTAAATTCTAAAAAGAGAAAATTCACGAGTTCTGCGAAAATTTCTCACCATCGTTAGATAAAATTTCTTTATCTATTCCAAATTTAAAAAATGCAATCATTTCACGAAATTTTCATTCGCTATTCTTAGTATTTTACTATTATTTACTACTTTTCCGATCCACAATATTAGAATACTGCGTGATTAGCAATATTCTATGCATTAGGAATAGAAATTAGTTATTTGTTTATTCATTTATTTATTTATTTATTTATTTATTCATTTATTTATTCATTTGTTCATTTATTTATTGATTTCGTATATCTGCCTTGCTGGGAGATTCCTATGGCAAGGGGAGTTATAATAGTACAGGCATCTCAATTGAGTTGTTTTGTGTACAGTTGGTAATTCGATATAATTAATCACTTATACAGAGAGAAACAACCATCAGTTAGCGCATTTCATGAGGGGAAGTTATTTACAAGGCAGCTTGTGAAATGTCAACATCTGCTTCTGTGATTAGATTATTATAAAAGTTTCTTAACTTGAGCGCATTGGCTAGGAAGTAATACAATCTTCTGGACCTGTCTGGGGTGTTTTGTCGCGTACATGAAAAAATTTTTTTTTTAGGATTGAGAATAGAAATTATCTCAAATAGACTTTCTCTGATTCAAAAGTTGCAATGACCACTTTATCTGTCATGTTTGACGATACCGAAATATCGATTAGTTATCAAAATTTTTTCAAATAGTACCCGACTCTGTTAGGCTAAAAAGACATTAATTCTTTTTCCTATTTTCAAGTATTTTGAATATCCTGTTTTATGTACAACAGTGCACACGCGAAAGAAATTCGTAGATCAACCTAGTGAATTTGTTAGAATATTCTATTAGATTTCTAGTGAAAATTCTATTCGTTTTTCGTCAATTCTGTTGAAAACTTTTCTAGCTTTACTAGAAATTTTTTTAAAATAGGAATGTTCAATAAAAAATATTTTATAGAGAAAATCAATAGAATTTTATTTTTCTGCACAATTTATTCCGCTGAGATATTTAGTGCAGAAACTCCTCACCTAAATTCTCCAAGTTTTTGTTTCCGATGGAAACTTTGCAATCGTTCAAACTTAGGTTTCGGATTTTTTTAATTACTAGGCAGATCGCGCGCTTCGCGCGCGCTACCTAGTTTGCATGAAATTGATATTTGTCGTCATTTTCATGAATTATAAATCCCCTGACTTACGAACTACGTGATCCTACATTATGTCAATTTTTTTATTATATTTCAATCATGTTTTAATATTTATATCAGAAATAATTATAATTATTGTGACAATTAAATTAACCAACTATAAACCAACTTTAAACAGAAACTTCACTTCATTCTCCTGACAACTTCACAAATGATAACGATGTTCAAATCGATTCGTCATACAAATTGACGGATCGAATCGAAAGCTTCATCATTAGCAATAAATGATTTCGAAAAATGGAAAATATCAATGCATTTTTAATGGGGCATCAGTTTGGTGTCAATTTTTTGAACGTAAATGTGATATTTCCATATTTAAGCATTAGGTACTTACACAGATTTGGACAATAACCGAGGAAAATTTCCTCATGAAGAGGAAAAAATTTGAATTTTCGCAGCGTGATATCCCAAAATCAAATTATTATTGCTTATCAGAATTTATCTATTGGATGGAATGGATAAAACACGGTATTAATTGCAAGATCTCGATAAGGTCTTCAAATTAGTATATAATACATCCCCGCTGATGAAGTCCAAAGCATCGTTTTTGTCAGAAGCTATGATTTTTTAAGTGTGACATGAAGTAAAAAATAGAAACAATCTACCATAATTGGATGAAAATTCCACGAAATCAGATTTTTTATGTACCATTTTGAAGAACTAACAATACTCTTCAAAATGATGTACGAATTCTTCACTTTACTTCAACGATAGTGATTGAAAAATGCGAACTAATCTGAATTCAGAAAAAAATCAAGAAATTCAATTCTTAGATAAAATCTTTTATAAGTTGATCAAACTTGGCTGTAATTAAATAGTTCAGGGGCCAATTTGAAAGCAATTTAATGTTCTTTGAATTATATATAACATGTTCTCACAAACTTGAAGAAAAAAACAGAAAATATCATCGTTTATAGAAAAAAAATGGTAATTTTCAAAACGTGACAGGCCAAAATCGATGCATTATCGCTTGTAACAATTGATCTAATGGTTGGAATCAATAATATGAGGTATCAATTTGAAGATCCCGATGAAACCTTCGAATTGATATATGATATATCCCCGCTGATTAAGTATAAACCCTTGATAAATTACAAAAACTGTCACTTTTTAGGTGTGACAAAACATAAAAAATGGAAAAAAACTGTAATAAATTGATGAAAATCCAATTAAATCGCATTTCTAATACACCGTTTCGGAAAATTGTACATGTTCTTCAAAATGATGTATAAATATCTTTGTTTAAGCCACTTGAAAGCATCGAAAAATCCATCCGAAGTTAATTTTGCAAGTGAAACATGAAAATTCACTTATCGCTTAAAACTCTCATAACTCAATGAAAAATGGTCAGAATTGGATGAAACAGACGTCACTTTGGAACTCATTTAATGAGCTTTCCAAAGATTGTACTATATACATGGTTCATAGAGAAGGAAAAAGAACTTGAGCATAGAAACCAAAGAAAAAAGCCTGGTAACGCTCACGAATCTTTTACTTATGGATACCAACAAGTCCGACAATGAAATTTTTAGACCCTGTGCATATGTTCAAGTGTATGTGATACAGTCTTTCTTTAATTATGCCAATGGTGTTTGATAAAAAAAAATGAATTTGTTTTCTTTCACTAGTAGAGAAAAAACTATTAAATCATCCGACAAAATTTCAAACCGGCAGCCGGAACGAGATATCGAGAAAATAAATACCGAAAATCGCCTGTGCCGCGCGACGAACCACGATAAAGCATGGGATTAAATGGGTGTGGGGGGTTGAAATATCTCTCTTATTCACGCCGGTACCCCATTGTTTTTCGCCGTCATTACATTTAGCACATAATTCTCCATATCTCCAAATTTTGCGATGTCCCTTTGACCAAGTTTAGAGATACAGACAATAACAATGGTTGTTTTCATGTATAGAATAGTTTTCAAAAATTTCATATTTTTTGAAAATCAAAATTTCGGAGATCATGTTTCAAATTAATTGAATCACAGCTGAAAAGATTTGTTTCAATAGCCCCCTGTAAGAGTTAGAAGATCGGATCTGATCGATTTTGCCCCGTATAGCCACGAAAAGCTGAATTTTTCCTGTTTTTACCTTCAAGATGCTCCTTGCGCCGTAATTTTTATGATTTTAGCTTTTTTTTTAAATGTTAGTTACACTACAAAGAATAAAGTTAAGCATCCGTTTTACTTTATTCGCAATAGATCATGAATAAATGAATTTTGAATTTTGTAAATTGTTCGCTTCTTTAAAGTAGATGAATGTGCGGCAAAGCTGCTGAATTTTTCAGAAGAATCGGTTAAAACCAAAAAAAATTGTATAGATGTTCAATAGAAATCCAATAGAATTTCTATTAGATTCGATTGCCTAGATAATTTTCTAGATTTTTCTACAAAAATATTCTCACATGTGTCTACCGAAATGTCCCTGAAATTTCAATTTTTCTCTGACAATGTCTCTCAAAACTGTCACCCGCATCGCTCACACCCTCCCCAAAAATTCAAATTTCCCAATAATTAAATACCTGTCATCCAAAAGCATGAAAGCTCCACAATGCTCCTATCAATATCCAATACACAGCCTCAAAACTCAAATATCCAATACCTGTCGATACACTTCCTCCTCAACTCCAACAATACGAATTGTCAAAACTTACCACAAGCTCTGGTATCAAACCATAAACGCGCGTCCGACTCACAGTCCCCGTGAATATCACTCGAAAAAAAAACTTGAAAAAAAATGCTTTCAAGCTCTCGTAGTTTCAGTGTGTAATTGCGTGCGTTTTTTATATGAAGCGCGGTTCTGAGTTTCCTCTGCTCGCCGGAGTTGTTTTTGGAGCGACGTCGTGGAATGAACTGAGGACTGAGGCAGCGTGGTGGCATCGTGGCCGAGGCCCAGTGGAGCGACGGCGCGGCTCAGCTAAAGAGAGATGAGAGAGGACTTTCCAGCGTTATGTATTCGTGTACCTTTCTATACAACACGGACTGCGTTGGAGTTCTTAACTATACCCGCGCCCCATGACCCCCTTCTTTCAATTCAAAACCCAATGCTCCGTCAGGATGTATACAACAAACATATATGACTTTCAATGCGGAAGATATACATGTGATTTCACGCATTCAATGGGGAGATCCTGCCGAGAGATTGAATATGAATAGTAAATAAAGCGGAGAGGAATTAGGTTTTTCGAGAGGTGAGATTGAATTTTTATGGCTCTGATTATGGGAGAGGTGGAGTTTTCAGGGAATTTAAGGTTTACAGACGTCCTCGGGTGTTATGAGGATATTATTAGAATATATTTCACCTAGTGATGCCGCGAGAGAAACGAGACGAGACGAGAAGAGTCATTCGAGACAATGACAGAAACGAGACGAGACGAGAAAAGCCGGTCGAGAACGAGAGAAATGAGAGTCGAGAGAGTCTCCCCTCACTGCCCCTCTGTGTATTTTTTTCGTGCATATTGGATTATAGAAACGAGATAAGGGGAGACGAGACGAGAGAAGAAATTACTCTCGTATTTCGATACGAGACGAGAGAATGGTTTGCTGACAACGAGATGAGATAAGAAACCGCATCTTCTCGTCTTGTCTCGTCTCGCGGCATCACCGATTTCACCAAAATTTGTACCGCAAATACATATTTTTTGCTTAATCACTAATAACGTGGAAGTATTTTTCATTATATTATGAATGAGCATGGAGAAATTCACATTTTTTAATTACCATATCAATAAGTACTAATTAACAATGAAAAACTGTTATTTATCTCATGAGGAATTACACTTGAATATTTTAGAGTAGTCATTCAATCAATAGTCAAACCAAAAATATTTTTTAATACGTATGTAATCAATAATGAAATCGAAAATATTTCTTGATACTCATCTAATCGATAATGAAAATTTAAATATTTTCATTATTCTGTTAATGGGTAATGTTGACCGTCAAAATATTCATTACTATGACAATGGACAAGGATTATCGAAGTGTCATTCCCTATGATGATCATCAGAAATAACAACTTTTTATTACTCAATTAATCAGTAATTATAGGTACACATTATTGAATACTCATCTAATTAATGATTAAATCTATCTCATAACGAAGAAAATCCGGATGTTCTGTTTTTAATTTTCAATTGATATAATAATGAAAATAAATATTGTGCCATTATTGATTAATAAATTATATATTTCCTTTTTCATTTTTATTTGTCATTAGTATTGCAATGAAAAATACATTTACTATTATTATTCATTACGAAAAAAATTATAATTGAATTTTTTCATTAACCATTGATATGGTTATTTAAATGAAAATAATAATAATCTATAAAAACCATCACATACCTTGTTACCGAACGCCCTATCCTTTCAGGGCTTGTTTAAGGATCCTAGTTTCCGAACGGCTAGAAAACGCAGTTTTTCGGGCACCGTCCGACAACAGGTTCCCTCACGGTATGAGATGAATTTAGTAGGAAATGAGTTGAATATTGATAAAAAGAATTAAAAAGATGGGACAACAGATCTAACTCTTCGTTTAATTTGGGAATTTTCAAACAAACTGTTAATTAAATTCAATAACATGTAAATGTGTTAGTTTCACGTCGTAATGATCTTTGTGAGCGAATGCAAGCAAGTCATGGATTCAATGAATATCATCAATTATTATTCAATAAATATTATCAATTATTATTCAATCACCCATTCAATTGTGGAAAATAATGCTTCATTATACTAGGACGTTCGTATACTCCGATAAAATCAACATTTGCTAAATCTGCTCATTTGTAACAATCGTTAATAAAGAGGAAAAGAGGAATTATGTTTTCCGAGAGGTGAGAGTGAGTTTTTAGGGTTCTGGGTATGGGAGAGATGGAGTTTTCAGGGGATTTAAAGTTTATAAACGTCATCTGATGTTACACTGATAGACAGATTCATTTATTCGAAACGAGATTCGTTAACTATTAACGAATGGTAGAGTTGAATATGACCAAATAAATATTCGTTAATTGTTAATGAATGGTTCACTTGAAAAGTAAAAATCGAGTCAAACAAGGCTCCTCAAATGTGCATTTGTTAACTATTAATGAATGAACATTTGGTGAGACCGAAATGACCCTCGTCTCCAACCAAATTCATTCGTTAACAATAACTAATTCTTTCTATCTGTGTATAAGGAGATTATCAGAATCCATTTCATGGGAAAACTGTTCTCAAAGAATTTCGCATAGCTGTTTGTCCCATCTTATCAGTGCGAAAAGAGAAAATGTGAGACGAATTACTGGGAAATGAGTTGAATATTGAAAAAAAATGAGGGGAACAATTTTTTAAGGAGGGGAATTGAGATTCAATTCCCCAATTCAGATCTAACTCATGCCTCAGTGGTTGAAAGCCGGCACCTCAATGCTCAATTTGTAAATTTTCGTACAAACCATTAACTGAACTCAATAAATCGTGAATATGTTAGTCTCATTTTGTAATGATCTCTGTGGACGAATTCAAACAGGTTTAAGGATTCAATAAATATTATTATTCATTCAATCGCGGAAAATCCTTCAACATACTAGGTCGTTCGTGTATTCGGATAAAATCAATATTGTTAAAATTTGGTCACTGGTAAAAATCGTTTATAAAGCGTAGAAGAATGAGGTTTTTCGAGAGGTGAGATGGAGTTTTTATGACTTCTATTATGGGAGAGGTGGCGTTTCCATGGGATTTAAATTTTATAGACGTCGTTCGATGTTATAAGGATATTATTGTTCATCCCGTCATATCAGAGGGAAAATAGAAAATATGAGATAAATGTAGTAGGAAATGAGTTGAATATTGATGAAAAAATTTTAAAAAATGAGGAGAATAACTATTTATGGAGAAGAATTGAGGTTCAATTATTGGGACAACAGATCTAACTCATGCCTCAGTGTTTGAGAGCCGGTACCTCAATATTCAATCTGTGAATTTTTAATCACACCATTAATTGAACTCAATAAAGCGTAAATATGTTAGTGTCATGTTCTAATGATCTCTGTGAACGAATTCAAATTGGTTTAAGGATTCAATGTGTATTATTATTCATTCAATTGCGGAAAATGGTTCAACATACTAGATGGTTCGTACATTCGGATAAAAGCAATATTGCTAAAATTTGCCCATTTGGAAAAATCGTTCATAAAGAGTAGAAGAATTAGGTTTTTCGAGAGGTGAGATGGAGTTTTTATGGCTTCTATTATGGGAGCGGTGGAGTTTTCATAGGATTTAAATTTTATAGACGTCGTTCGATGTTATAAGGATATTATTAGAATATATTTCATGTGGAAATTGTTCTGACAGAATTTTGACTAGCTGTTCGTCCCATCATATCAGTGCGAAAGTAGAAAATGTGAAATGAATTTAGTAGGAAATGCGTTAAATATCGATGAAAAATATTTTAACCTTGAATGAACCTTGATTACTCCGTCAGTAGGCGCGCAATCCTCCCACGGTTCTTTAAGCCCGCAGTGAGAGAATTTCTCACATTACGGACGCGTTAGATAGAGAGACAGAGAGGTCTTTGCTCTGGTCTTCTCACTCCAGCCCCTCACTGCTGACCAGCGAACCCAAAGCTAGAACTGACTTTAGGCACGTGATGAGGGATTCTCTCACGACTCCTGATCCATTCCAATAACATTTTTTTTACAAATATATTGGTGCATTCTGGAGGAGATTTTCATGCACCAGAAGGAAGCGAGTGACCCTTATGACCATTAATCTGACTTCTGTGTTCCTTAATCCGACCCTCGTGACCCTTATTCTGACCGTCGTGATCCTTATGACCTTTAATCTGACCCTTGTGAACCTTATTCTGACCGTTATGACCCCTATTTTGACATTCATGATCATTATTTTGACCCTCGTGACCCTTATTCTCATCTTTGTGACTTTTAATCTGACCCCTGTGGCCCTTAATCCGACCCTCGTGACCCTTATTTTGACCCTTGTGACTCTTATTCTGACCTTGGTGACGCTTATCCTGATTTTCATTACCCTTATTCTGACCCTTATGACCTTCATTCTGACCCTCGTGACGCTTATTCTGATTCTCGTGACCCTTATTCTGATCCTCATAACCATTATTTTGACCCTTGTGACCCTTAATTGTGGAGTCTTAATGTCGAGTACCAAATTTTTATCACTAGACGTTGATTTGGATTTTTATAATATAGAGATATAATTTTCATTCATTTACCAATTGGGAAAATTGAGTTTCCAAATTAATTCAGCGATTGTATAGTAGAAATAATGAGTAAATCTGAAATTTTGGTTAATTAGCCATTCATCTCGGTAATGAGTGACTCTGGAACAACATAGAATCCCTTATTATTCGGATAATTCCATGTTTTTCCACTTCACTACGATGAATTAATTTCGATGTTGAATGTGAATAGTACGATGAGTTTCCATGGAAAAGGTGCATTTTTCTGGGTCGATGGGAGCGGGAGATAGAGATAAAAGGATTCCATGAAAGTAATAAAAAATAATAGTTCAGGCACAAACGTGGGAACCGAGGTGGGAACATCCTCTTGTCTATGTGGCTTTTATCCAAATAATTTGATATTCT